GGATGGATGACTGGATGGATGGATGGATGATGGATGGATGGATGGACAGATGGATGGATGGATGGCTGGATGGATGGATGATGGATGGATGGATGACTGGATGGATGGATGACTGGATGGATGGACGGATGGATGGATGGATGGACGGATGGATGGATGGACGGATGGATGGATGGACGGATGGATGGATGGCTGGATGGATGGATGGATGGATGGATGGATGGATGATGGATGGATGGATGCTGTTTCAAGGCTGGCCTCAACAAACGGGCCAAACAAAGTTGTTTTCTTACCAACTCTTGGTCATTCTGAAACGTAATGGATGAGCTGAAACAGCTCGTGGAGAAAACGGTGCCCTGGTTGGATGGATGGATGGACGGATGGATGGATGGATGGCTGGTTGGATGAGAGGACGGGTCCACAAGTGGAAGAAAAGCTGTGCTCACACCAGAGAAAGTCCTTTTGATTTGATCACTGTGGTGCTGAAGCGACGCACTGACTCACCTTTCTTCACGTTTGACTCACAGACTGTGAAATAAACACGATGCTAAAGTTCTGAATGTGTTTGACTCCACTGTAGTTCTGCAAATGGTTCTCTGGACCATGGTGGTTCTGCTGCACCTCCTCCAGGAGGGCCTGAACATGACGGTGGACATTCAAACGTTTCCAACTCGTCTCTGTGAAGGTTTTTCTTTTGGGTCCAAACTCTGTAAAGACAGAGGCCCCAGCTCTTTCTGCTGTTTTTATTATTTGTTTAGTTCAAAAGTTAAGGTTGAGTTTTCAGTCCAGCACGAAGACTTTTAAATCTTGGTCCTCATAAACGTGTTTCAGATTATATGTAGACTCTGCTGAGCAGCAGACCCATGGCCTGGTGTAAAGTGTAAAACAGCACATGGTTACATGAGGACGTCTGGCACAAACTTTAAACACATTTAAAAGAAAATACTAAACTTATTACATGTTGGTTAATTTTTGACAAAAAAAACTTGCTTGGATTAGTTGCAAAGTGTGCAGTGATTTAATTTAGCCTCAGGGTAGAAGCTGTTCCTCAGTCTAGTGGTTCTACACTTAATGCTCCTCAACCTCCTTCCTGAGGGGACCGGGGCAAAAA